ATCACACCATTGTCATTATCTGGGTCATGGAGATCTTTTTTGTACAGTTCTTCTGTGTATTCTTGTCTCCTGGTCTTAATATCTTCTGCTTCTGTTAGGTCCATACCATTTCTGTCCTTTATTGAGCCCAACTTTGCATGAAATGTTCCCTTGGTACCTCTAATTCTCTTGAAGAGACCTCTAGTCATTCCCATTCTATTGTTTTCCTCTATTTCTTTGCAGTGATCACTAAGAAAGGCTTTCTTATCTCTCCTTGCTATTCTTTGGAACTCTGCATTCAAAGGGGTATATCTTTCCTTTTCTCCTTTGCCTTTTGCTTCTCTTCTTTTCACAGCTATTTGTAAGGCCGCCTAAGACAACCAATTTGCCTTTTTGCATTTCATTTCCTTGGGGATGGTCTTGATCCCTGCCTGCTGTACACTGTCACAAACCTCCATCCATAGTTCTTTAGACTGTCTATAAGATCTAATCCTTTGAATTTATTTGTCATTTCCACTGTATAATCTCAAGGGATTTGATTAGATCATACCTGAATGGTCTAGTGGTTTTCCCTACTTTCTTCAATTTAAGTCTGAATTTGGCAATAAGGAGTTCATGATCTGAGCCATAGTCAGTTCCAGGTCTTGTTTTTGCTGACTGTATAGAGCATCTCCATCTTTGGCTGCAAAGCATATAATCAATCTGATTTTGGTATTGACCATCTGGTGATGTCCATGTGTAGAATCATCTCTAGTGTTCTTGGAAGAGGGTGTTTGCTATGACCAAATAATATGTAAATTACCCTGAGTTAATTAATAGACAAATTCCATTAGTAATAATAAAATAAGATAGACTAAAATCTCCCAGATAGACTTAAGATTCACAGAAAGATCAGAGAATTTAAAAGCATGTAGCTTTATTACCTTTGACTATATGGCTCAGAGGTTAAAGTGTCTGCCTGCAATGTGGGAGACCCGGATTCAATCCCTGGGTCAGGAAGATCCCCTAGAGAAAGAAATGGCAACCCACTCCAGTATTCTTGCCTGGAGAATCCCATGGAGGGAGGAGCCTGGTAGGCTACGTTCCACAGGGTAGCAAAGAGTTGGACACAACTGAGCGAGTTCACTTTGTTTTCACTTTTCACATGCAGAGAGAAACACTTGGGTGTGGGCCAAGGAGGAGGGACCAGTGAGGCTGTAAAGGGTGTGAGTTTTTGTGAATCATCAAAGAGTTACACTCCACATACTCTGTTTTACCACTGGATTGTTGCTTCTTCTTTGCTTACTTTTCTCCTCTGTAAAATTAGGATAATTAAATTGATCCTGTGTTCCTCATATGGCTTATGGGAGGATAAAACCAAAGAAGTAAATTTTAAAAGGTTGAAAAATTATATTATTTCATAAAGATTTCTACTTGAGTAATACATGCTAGAACAAAAATATATGTTTCCTGACTCTAAGAGTATCTCATCTGTCTTTTGTGTCACAGATATACCACATATATAATACCACAGATATTGCTGTGGTAATATCAGTGAAATCATAGTTTCTGGCTCAGTTGTTATCAAGTATAAGTGGATTCAAATTTAGTTTGCCACAGCAAATGAATAAAACAAGTACACAGTTTCAAAGTTAGGGGTTGAAAGTGAAAAGTGAAAGTGAAAGTCGCTCAGTCATGTCCACGTCTTTGAGACCCCACAGACTATACAGTCCATGGAATTCTCCAGACCAGAATACTGGAGTGGGTAGCCTTTCCCTTCTCTAGGGGATCTTCCCAACCCAGGAATTGAACCGGGGTCTCCTGCATTGTAGGCCTTACCAACTGAGTTAGGGAATCCCAAGTTAGGGATTATAGAACCATACATCATTAAGAATCAGGATTCTGAGGTCAGCATGTTGAAGTTTGACAGAAAACAACAAAATTCTGTAAAGCAATTATCCTTCAGTTAAAAAATGAAAAGAATCAGAATGCTGCAGGAGAACTCCAAACTAACCAAAATCTATTTATGATGACCAGAAACAGAATACCAACAAATATTTTTATTCTTAGGGTCACTGAGGTTCTTTCCAGTTCTCTTATGTCAATCTGTTACTGGCTACCACAGTGCTTTATATTCTCAGGCACCCATGTCAAAAGAGCAGTTTTTAAATTTTCTGTCCTACTATTAAAATGTTGGTCTTGGTTGTAATTTTAATCAGGTCTGAATAAAATAATTTAGAATTTAGAACTTCTAGGTTCCACATTTATTCTGGATCCTTACAGTTGTGAGCAACAGAAATCCTATAATTAAAACAAAGGAATTTGTTGGCTCAAGAAAAAAGTCCACGAGTGTATCAGGCATAGCTGGGTCACTGACAAACCATACCAGGACCTGACCTCTCGTTCCACCACTTGCCATCTCTTTGCAATATTTTCTTCTATATTTACTTCCCTCTGATCTGTTTCATTCTGTAGATAGTCCCAGTAGTGACATTTTAAAATCCTTATAGTTATAAGCCAAGCTAGAAAGGAAAGGGCCTAGTTCACCAGGTCAAGCTGGAGTTAGCCCCTCAACTGAATCTCAGTGAACGGAGTGGATCCCCAAGGAAAATGTTTCTAATACCAGCAGACAGAAATGGATGGCTGGGCAGGTAATAAACAGAATTCCCCACAAGTGATGATTAGCATGAACTTGTTACTGGCACCCCTCTTGCAGTATTGGATTGTTTTACATTGTATTATAATTATTATATTATAATTCTTATTCTTATTTCTCCTCCCTACGGCGAGGAATCTTATTTAATTCTTTTTTTTTTTCAAATCTTATTTAATTCATTTTTCTGTCCTCTCCTTCCCTTCTTTATGGCCTCATCCTCAGTGCTTGCAAAAGTGCTTTTCATTTGTTGTGTGAGTTTCTTCTTTGCATGTATGTGCTCCTGACAATTTTGCATGTGTTAAAAGTAAAGTAAAAATGCAACAAGCTAATTAATGTGTGCAAGTTAATTAATACATTTACATGATTAAATGGATGTGACACTGTTTCTTTTATCTGTAAGATTCATTAGTCTACACATTTTCTAATAATCATAGTTGAATTTTATATAGGGCTTACTAGGTACTAAATCTTTCTAAATATTTTCTGTTTAATCCTTAGAACAACCAGAAGAGGTGAATACTTCTTCCAACTCCAGGTTACAATGCCATGTATGTATGGCATGTACATTAGTGAATATATGTATTAATTATTATTATTAATTAATGTATTAATTAATTAATGCCATGAGATTAATGCTTTAGTAAGTGGTAGTTCTGGGATCAGGAATGTGAGTCTATACTCCTAACCATAATGCTTTTCTGTTACAATGAGCTAACAGCTTAAGTGTGAGTAGGACATGGTTTCGCTCCTTCAAGAGCTATGCAAGCTGGGAACAGACATTGTGCATTTAAGGCACAGCTCTCACAAAAGCCCTAAGAGGAAGCTGAGTGGGGGTCTGTAATTATATCACCAATAGAATTTTGTGAGGGAGTGCTCACTGAGACACAAGTAAGGGAAATGGTATACTTAGACCCCTAAAAAACATAATTTTGTGGACTGAAAGCTATATTGTGTCCAAGCTAAGTTTGAATTGACTAAGATGTTGAAATAATGCTGCTCTTCTGCTTAGATTATATTTTAGAAATGTATTAAAAAATAAGCTCTCATCTCACTCTCTAAGGACAATCTGTGAACCAGCAGCTGCAAATCACCCAGGAGCTTTTTAGAAAGGCACGATCTCAGGCCCACCACAGAGCCACTGAATCAGATTCTGCACTTTACAAGGTCCCTAAGAAATGTCTGTACACAATAGAATCTGGGAAGCACTGAGCTAAAGTGAAAATACAAAGGCAGCAATGGGATCTGTTAGTACCATCTGATGGAAGTCTGGTTACCGTTTGTTGTTAAAATAGTTTAGTCTTATCTGATTGCTGGTGAGTTTGAGGTGCTCAGCTTGAGACTTTGGCACATGGTGAAAAGAGTCTGTCCATCAAGGAAGGGCACAGATCCTGCACCAGCAGAGGTTCAGGCCATCTCTTCCACTGCTAAGTCCTCTAGCCACATGTCCTTTGATGAACCTAACACCTTAACACAAGGTTAAGGGGAATTAATTGGAAAAGGCTCTGGAATGGAAGGCTTTGATGAATGATTGAGCCATTCAAGGGAGAANGGCAGTTCTATTTCCAGCTTTTTAAGAAAGACCTTGAATACCTTTATGTGCTGTGGTTAGGAGTTGGGATTTTATCTTTTAAATTCATGTTTTTTGAGAGTTGGGAGAAATCAGCTTTATTGCTTGGGTGAAATTATACATGCTCACTGAAAGAAATTAAAACTACAAAAAACACAAAGAAAGTAAAACTCATCTGAAATAGCACCATCCACAAATAATCACTGCTCACATTTTCTAAGCATTCTTCTAGTCTTCTTCACGCATGTATACAAACATATGATTTTACATATCTTTTTTCATTCAACATTGTCATAGACATAGTTCTGTGTCAATAAACATATCATCTATGTCATCATTTTAGTGGCCACAAAGTACTCCATTGTATGTAATTTGCATGTGTGCACACTAAGTCACTTGAGTTGAGTCCAACTCTTTGTGACTCCATGGGTTGTAACCTGCCAAGCTCCTCTATCCATGGAATTCTCTAGGCAAGAATACTGGAGTGGGTTGCCATGTCCTCCTCCAGAGGATCTTTCTGACCCAGGGATTGAACCCATGTCTCTTATGTCTCCTGCATTGGCAGGCGGGTTCTTTTTGAGCCACCGGGATCTGGGTCCAATCAAAGGACAGAAACACAGGGTAATATAAGCAGGGAAGCTTAATATAGAGAAGTATTAACCTATGATACTAGAGTGACTATAAGGTGGTAAAAGAATTCTCAGAGGTGCCCTAGGACTGAGGAAGGGTATCTAAAGAAGAACAAAGTTGGAAGGGAGTTTAGACTATACTGAGGAAGGTGTGGTTATAGCCCATTGGATGGTTGAGAAGTTTGCTGGGTCAGAGATGGTTCACAATCACTGGGAAAGCAGGAGCAGCAACCCCAGGGCATACGTGACTAAAGGCTGATGGGAGAGGGGGTCCACACAGGGAGGAGTCAAGTGCCACTGCTGACACTGCTGGAGCCGGAGCTGGGGAGATCACATTCTGCAGGAAGACAGCACACTTGTGTGTACTTGGGCTGAGGAGCCTCCAGACACTGCATGGCTGGCTGGCCCACCAGATGGCTAGTCTTATAGGATTCTAGTGTGTTCCCACAGAGTGCAGAGAAGAGAGTGCCAGGAGCAGCTGCCTGGGCTGAGACACAGGACCATACATCCTGGGGCTCCTGGCCCACTGCCCATGTTGACAGCTGGAAAAAGCAGACGCCCAGAAAAAAGTACAGAAAAAAACACTTGGAGTAAGTCTGCTCATGCTCTGCAGGAACCTGCTGGCAATGTACCCCAGAGCTCAGGGGGATAAAATCTCTTTCTCTTTCAGTGTCCTTCTAGCACCCACTATTACCAGAGTTTGAAACCTTCCACTGGTAAAGGAAAATGATTTAAAGGGCTCAGATCCATTTTTGTGGAGCAGGTAATGAAGGATGAATTTGAAGATTAAGATGATAAATCAAAAATTAGCATACTAGAGTGTACTTAACAAGTTTTCTATTAATGGATATTTTGGCATTTCCCATGCTTCACCATTTTCAACAAATGCTGGTGTATCAGACTCCAGATACACATGTTTTCACACTTGAGTAATTATTAGGAGAGAGTTTTAAATTAAGGAAATGATCATGAGATTTAGCTCCCATTTGCGGATTTGTCAGTCAAAGTTACAATTGGCTTTTGGGAATACTGTAGAAATCAGCAGCTGCCTGGATCACTCAGAGATGGTGAGGGGCTTCCTCTAGAGTAAGCCACAGATGTTTTTATAAGGATCACTGTAACTATCAGGAAAAACTACTTAAGAAGTTTTCATACTCTGAAGCCTCATCTCCAATCGCTAAATTGTTAACAAAGCTCATGCTCTGAGCCATTCAGCCCTCTCCCAGTATAACAGACATCTGCCCTGCCACCTCTAGAACCATCAGAACTTTTTCATCTCCTTCTTTACCTGGTACCTGAAGAGTCCATTTTTCCTTCATAGGAGACTAGCTTATTCTCCTTGAGAATATTTTTAAATTTGTTATATTAGACTCACAATTATAGATGTTTCAGTTCAGTTCAGTTCAGTCACTCAGTCGTGTCCGACTCTTTGCGACCCCATGAATCGCAGCACGCCAGGCCTCCCTGTCCATCACCAACTCCCGGAGTTTACTCAAACTCATGCCCATCGAGTCGGTGATGCCATATAGATGTTTATAAATGAACTAAACGCCCTCTAGGACCCACACAACTACATGGAAGGTTTGTCCTAATTTCCCCCATCCTCTTTGCCTCCCAGTTCCTACTTAGAAATCCCTCAAGTTCACCCCATTGATGTTCACTTCATCTACACACACTTCAATCCATTAGTTAGCTGAGCAATCACATTATGCCTGGAAGTCCTTAGAAGAACATTGAAAGATAGGTGTTATCACTATTATTCATGAGGAAATTATAATGAAAAGATCTTAAAGGTCTGTCTAACGTCACAAAGAGGACAAGTAGTAAAGCTGGAATTTGAAACCAGACCCTAAGTCCAAGCTACTTTCATATTTTAGAAAAAATATGATTATCCCAAAGAGGAAAAGTCCAGTAGGTTTACTCTCTTGTATATTGGTTCAGAAACACTCACCCTACCCCATGGTTTCCCAGCCCCTGCCTGCTCTGGCCCTGGTGGCTGGCTCCCTTCCAAGGAGTCGGCTTATGATATTTGAACACCCTCCACACAGGCAAAGAGGTCTTTGTTTCTCAGAGTCACCATCTTTTCTTTTGGAGTTCTCGGTCCCAGCCAGGAATTACTGAGAAGATGGGCCCTTCTGTTGTAGAGTATTTCCTAAAGACTTTATGATGCCTGAGACTATTAACAAGCAGTGACAATTTCACCAGCTTTTATTGAGCATCAGCTTTTATTGAGTGTCAGGCCTGGGTAAGACAGAAGTGCAGGGTGTGGATTCTGCCACCTTTGTCTTTGATTATTCATCCCAAAGAGTTGGCCAGCCTGTATTTTTGTTTTCTCATACATAATTTTTTCCAATTATAAATTTATGAACACAAAAAATTAAAAACAACTCAAACATCACCAAAACCGGTGGCAAAAAAAATTCTCATAATTTGCCCCTCAACTTCCCAACTCCTTCCAAAAAAATTCATTAGATGTATGTAAAGAAAGTGAAAATGAAAGGGTTAGTCGCTCAGTCCTGTCTGGCTCTTGTGACTAGATGGACTGTAGCCCGCCAGGCTCCTGTATCCATGGAACTCTCCAGCAAGAATACCAAAGTGGTTAGTCATTCCCTTCTCCAGGGGATCTTTCCAACCCAGGGATTGAACCCAGGTCTGTTGCATTGCAGGCAGATTACGGATGTATATAAGTCAAATTATTATGCTGTACACCTTAAACTTATAGAGTACTGTATGTCAGTCATATCTCAAAAAAACTGGAATAAAAGAACTTCCCCGGTGGTCCAGTGGTAAATGCAGGGGATACGGGTTCAATCCCTGATCAGTAGCTAAGATCTCACATGCCACAGGACACCTAAGCCCCCATGCCACAACTAGAGAAAGTTGCATGCTGCAGCGAAGACCCAGCAGTAAAAAAAAAGGAAGAAAAAAATTTTAATTAAAAAATCAAACAAACAAACATGAAAAGGGAGTTCCCTCTTAGACTATTCATTAGGATTCCAGTCCTTCACTCTTCAATCTCTGGTCGGGGAACTGAGACCCCCCAAGCTACTAGGCATGGTAAAAAATTTGTTATTTTTTAATTGAAATAAATAAACAGTGCAGAAGAAGCTTTTGAAAGGAATGGATATATTAATGGATATATATGGCATAGGTTGTAGTGGTACAGTCATGGGTGTATACATCTCTCCGAACTGATCACATTTTATTCGTTAAATCTGTAAAGCTTCTTCTATCTCAATCATACCTCAATAATATGGTTTAACAAGTGAAATAAAAAATGAGTGGAAAAAATCACCATTAACAGTTAAGCATTTTTTTGTTTTTAAAAAAATTTTAGTAGACAATTCTTTATAGCAATTTTAGATTCACAGCAACATTGAGCAAAATGTACAGAGATTTCCAATATACTCTCTCCCCACCACCAAGCACAGCCTCCCTACTGTCAAGATTCCCTGCTAGACTGTTACATTTGTTACCCTATAAATGCAGTGCACAATATACAGTCTATGAGTCAGTGAACCTACACTGACACATCATTATTACCCAAAGCCCATAGATCACATGTGGATCACTCTTGATGATGTAAATTTAATGTATTCAGGCAAATGTATCCACAATTATAGTATCATACTGAATAGTTTCACTGCTCTAAAAATTCTCTGTTCTTCACCTATTCATCCCTCCCTATGTTCCCCTAACCTATGACAACTACTGATGTTTTTAATGTCTTGGTAGTTTTGCCTTTTCCAGAATGTCAGATCATTGGAGTCATGCAGTACGTAGCCTTCTCAAACTGGCAATATTTTTAGGTTGTTTTTCCTAAGTACGCAACATTATTTGCTTGTTAATTAATTAATTAAGGATAATATCAGTGTATTGTTTAGCAACTTTCTTCAGGTAACACTATGCCTTGAATGTATTTTATTATCAATGTATATAAAAGATAATGATAGTAGTAACAATAATAAATTTATTGAGTATTAATAATGTGCTGTGTGCTGTACTACTTTTTTTTTTATAATATAAACAGACAGTATCCACATAGTTTATTTCTCACAGTTCTCCTGACAAAGGAACATTATTCAAGAACATACTGTATACACAGATAAGAAGAAACATACAAAATGTTTTAAATGATGCACAACAAAATCCAGCAGTATAAAAGAATGCATGTGAACTCTTGCTCACTGCACAGACTAAATTTAATCACTTGTTTAAATAGTAATAAAAATACAATCTTTTATGGATCTTGTGCAGACTACAAAAGAGGGAAATTATTATCATATATATGATTTTTATATTAGGCAGTTTTCTTCA